TCCAGGGGTGCGAATGACTATCTGGTATCAAACTGCCTGACAATGGGCACGTTTACACATGCAATTAATTAGAAGCAATAAACTCCAGCGCATATTGTGCCCATTTTTTATTGCTCCCGGGCAACAGGTTTTCATGGAGCCTGGGAAGGTCAGCCTGCCAATCTGGGGCTGCTCCAACCCAGCTCGGGCATAAGGGTGCTCCAGGGTGGGGCTAGCCAGCAAGCAGCAGCTGCACTGAAGCACCCTGGTGCCCCAGCCAGCCCCATCAGCATCTACATGTGCGCTGCTGTGATGTAAAAAAAATTGCTGGTGAATCTAGATGATTCAATTGAAGAAGAAATGAATATGATCTTCCCAAAATGACACTTTTCAATGTTTTTATTAGATAGATGATGGCAGAATTATACATAATTCCATTTCTCCAAAACTAAAATGGCACTTACTTATACAGTATATTACCCCCAAAAAATATTCATTGTGAGGACTACAGGAAGTTGTGTGGTTAAGGAATATAATTGGGTATTAGGAAATCACTATTCTGTTCCTCTGGCTTTTCCAGATCTCCCAGACACCTTCTGAACTGAAGTCCTTCTCAATAGTTGCTAAGAAGCCTACCAATTTTTCTCTTCTCTTTACTCCATATGTCAATTAAATCTGAGCAATGAAAGATTAGGGACACAGAACTCACTGGAGAATTTCAGTTTCCATGACTGATTTGGGAACAAGTATATGTGTGTGACAGTTCATGATTTTTCTTTAAAGTGTTATCCTGTGAAGCACTATCCCATGTGACTTTTCTGATGGTATTTGTTTCCCTTAGGAGGAGATGTAGGGAATGAACCTCCTCTTCACTCCTGAAAATGGATTTTCTTCTGTATATTTCACTCACTGGGTCAATTTCCATTAGTCATTTCAGCAGAAATAAGAATGGTTTTTCCTTCAGTCTTCTGGTTAAATTCAGAATAGATTTCTTTTGTAAGGACATTAAGAACCCAAACAGACAAAAGACAAAGTAAAAAAATCTAGTGGAACGAAACTGTGAAAGCTTCCTACTAAGGATAAAAAGAAGAACAGTCTGTGAAAAGATTGTTGTGCTAGGACTAGAACCCACAGCAGGGGCAGGCAACTATTTGGGCCCACAGGCCATATAAGCAGTTTTGGGGAGCTGCTGCAGGCCAGTTCAGCACTCCCTCCCTCCCCACAGCAATAGCCCAGAGCCCGCATGCCCTGCAGCAGCTTTCTGCCACCACCACCCAACAGCAGCTGAGTGCATGGCCCTTGCCTCAGCCATGGCCACAGCCCACCCCACACCCACTCTGGACTTGCCCTGGCCACAGCAGACTATCTCTGGACCATCTGGGACCTATGCATACAGATCTGATTCTGAACTGCCCTGCACCTGCTCTGGACCTGACTACCCACGATGTGCAGCACCAGTCGCAGCAATGGCCAGGCAGAAGCTGCTCGTGGGCATGGGAGAAAAGCAGCATCCTCCCCCTCACCACTGCTGGGCCCTTCTTGCCATGGATGCATGGAGCCCATGCCCAGGCTGCCCTGCAGCTCCTCTCTGCTGTCACCACTGCCCCACTGGGTGGCATGGAGGCAGTGGTGGTGACAGCAGTGTTTGAGGAGCCACAGGGCAGCCCAGATGCAGGCTCCAGGCAGCCATAGCAAGAAGGGCCCAGAAGTGGCAAGGAGAAGGTAGCCACTTTTTCCAATGGCCAGCAGCAGCTTCTTCCCAGCTACCACTGTTGCTGTTGCTGCTTATCACTGGTGGGCATGTCCGGAGCAGGCACAGGGTGACCCAGGGTCAGAGCTGTATGCGTAGGTCCTGGCTGGTCTGCAGATTGTCTGGTCCAGCTGGGGAAAGTCCAGAGTAGATGCAAGGAGGGCCAGGGTTGGGGCTGTGCACATGGGTCCCCACAGGTCTCCATGGGCCTGGGGCCAGTGGCGGCGGCAGCCAGAAGAAGCCACTGCTGCCTGGGTTGCCTAGAAATGGCATGCAGCTTTGAAGTCACCCCAGCCACACTGCCTGGACCAGGTGGGGCAGAGAGACCTACCATGGCCTGAACAAAGTCCCTCTATGGGCTGAATCTGGCCTGCAGGCCAGATTTTGCTCCCCCCTGATCTACAGTCATCTATACACATGCTACTTAAACGATGATATCCCATAGCCAATGAGACATATGGTTAATGGTTCCTTGTTCATCATGTCATTATTCTAGAATCACTGCAGAAACAGATTTAAAAGGTTTAAACCTAGCCTGCAAAAATGCCAATGATCAAATTTACCATTTTAGGGCAACTTTTGGAATACCTTCTGTTAAAACTGGGATATGCCGGATATTAATGGTGTTTTACCACTGTGGTTAATAATATGGAGCTACAAAGCTGAGTTATTATTAACTACAAAGTTGAGTTATTATTAAAAATGCCATTGAATGAATGCATATGATGAAAGAATGGAAATAAAGCTTTAAATTTAATGGTACTGATAACAGGACCAATGAATATCAGTCAGATATGTCTCTGAGTTCTTTTTAAATGAAACTCTCTGAAAATACAGTAGATACTTTTGTTCATAGATTTAGTGCTTGGTGATTTTAGCATTTTTTATTTATTCATATTTATATCCTGTCCTTCACATAAGGTTCAGTGAGGTCAGTATTTCACTGTTGGTTCCTGATATTGGGTTGTATTATGTGCCTGCGAATGTTTACTTTTCAAGTAGGAAGATTAATTATTTTATGTTCTAGATAATTTGGTTGTTGAGTATTTTCTTGGTATACTAAAAAACACAGGAGATATTTTATTAGCTACTGCAGTTCCCATTATTTTTAAAAGTTAACTAAACATCCCTGGATACTATGACTAAGCACATTTAGGTTTATGTACACACAATGTTTTATGGTTTTAAGCCTATGTTTAAATATCTTGTTTAAAACAAGACCTAGTAAAAACATTAATAACATTAATATCTACCCTTCCCAGCAAATGCTCAGAGTGGCTTGCAACATTACGGTGGTGTTGCACATTCAACTTAACACTTACTAAATGTAGTTAAACTGCAAGCAGATGCATTTTCAAGCAATTTAGCATGAATTAAGTGCCCTTGTGATGTTACAAAGTTGTTCCCTTTCAGGCAAGGATTATCTCCTAATATGTAATGTGACACCCCCCCCATACATGCTAACTTCAATATATCACAACATTTCAATGATTTGCAACTATTGCAAATGAAGGTGTGAAAAGAACTTTACTTCATTCAGAGACAAATCACACAAGAAAGTTCTTGTTCTTTAATATAAAATCAGTATTCTTCAAGATGGCTGCTTGAAGGAGTTTATAACAAACGAACAAATCTTTGCACTTTTTTGAAAATAAGTATCCTATTTTGACTTACAATATCTATCAACATGGAACTGTTAGTATTTTCCATTTCTTGCCCAAATCAGTTACAGTATCAGTGCAATAACTCTTCAGTAGTAGCCTCTCTAAGCCTTTCTGTCCAATCTAGGCTCTTATACAGTACCTGTTGATCTAGCCTCTTACATGGCAGTTGTCACCAAGGTATCTAAGTATTTCCCGAAGTTGTGAAGTATACATATAAAGATATATGTTGCATTCCCTTTCTTTTCTATCCAGTCAGCTTGGACTGCACTATTAGCGTTTTGTTATCTTTGTCTTCCTGGTGTCAATCTGTCAAGTGATTATTTCTAAGTTATTTTGAAAGAGAGGAGTACACCCTGTGTAGCACACGTGGCCCTATATATGCAGGGAAATAATATACACTCACCTGACCTATGAAGCACAGTACCACAAACCTAGCTTCGGAAGTGAAAGGGTCAGACATGCACTTTATTTTATATTGGGGCCCACAGAATGTAGGTACATTCAGTTTTTCAACCATATCTTGAATTTTATAACAATTGTCTAATAGTACACCATAGTGCTACACTATGGCTGCTGACAAGCAAGAAGAAAAAAAAAGTTTTACCATAAGATGCAGCATGTTAGTTTGACCCTGAAAGCTCCGCAGTGTCTATATGGATTGTGTGCATTAAAACTCTGGTATACTCGCTTCTTGAGAATTAAAGTGTTCTTAATTCAGATTATCGTAATTCACAAGTAAATTTGGGTACAGTGCAATTCCCAAGTGAACCTAGCTATCCAAATGAATTCCAAATAAGCATTTCTACAAAAAAACTTTGGTGCAGTCCTCCTAATCCACTTCGAAAATTAATTTGAATTAACTTCCTAGAACATCCTAACATAGGCAAAACCTGACAGACATGTTATTGTTTGTTTAGTTTGTCTGATCAATTTCCTCTCCTCTTCTCTCCTCCCTAGGTGTGATAGCAGTTGTGATATTCATCCTGCTTTGTATTGCTGCCATAGCCACACGCATTTATAAAAAAAAAAGCATATATAAGAAAAATGAGGCAAAAGGATCAGAAAATGAGGACAGTGCCGAGTCTGCCCTGAAAAGTGAGCTCAGCATGCAAAATACAGTCAACGAAAATCAAAAGGAATACTTCTTCTGATTGGCACTTATGATTTAATTTAATATAATAATGTCACAGTCTGACTTTCTTGCTAAGCCAGGGGCTCTCAATGGACAAAAAAGCTCTTGCACTCAAAGTAAATGCAATGGATTTGAGACCTATTATACTGCATATGTTCAGTCTCAGTGATTGCTATAGGAGGCCTCTTTAAATTACATGCATTCCTTAGCTATTATACCGTAAATGCATTTTATGTAACAGTGAATTAGATATTGTAACCAATTTCATTGTTGATAGTTTCCGACTGTTCTGATGTGACCTTCTGCAATTGAAGTTTAACGTGCATACTGAATATGATTTTTTAATGGGAAAATTGTTATGAAGTGATTGGCCCCATCCTTCTCTCTAAAATCTATAATTCAGGACTTTTATTCAAGGTAAAAAGTTGGATTATAATGTTTTGCTTTACTCAAGAAAGTATTCTGTATTGCTCAATAGTGACGCCCACTGACTTTCTGATATCGAAAATACCCTTTCAACTAGTGTTGGCTAATGTCAACATCTACAGGTGCTCAAAACTGAACAAAACTGTTAGTTTTTTCCTATGAGGAGACCTCTGTAGTTATTATCTGATCAGTATTTAATCTGGATGTGGAGAGTGGGGTAATTTTATCAATTTTGCCCCCTTTATTCAATTTTGCCTGATATGGCTGAAGTCTTCAGCTACTGAACTGAGTTTTAAAGTTTGCAAGTCTATTGGGGCCTATGTGGAAGGGTGCACTGAGTGCACTGGTATGTTATACAATCCCTTTTTGTAATATATTTCCATGCATGGTTTAGTGGTGGCAGCAGGTTATAATCTAACATCTGTATGCATTGTTGCAGAATTATGCCTGCTCAAGTTCATGCCGTTCATTTAAAAATAAGAGTAAAATATTCATGTTTGGTTTATAATTAATAAGAGCAGCAAAAGTTGTGCAAGCAGATTTTGTGCATGACTTGGCAAATATTGGAAATAAGAAATGTAACAATGCTGCTTATGTGTAATTGTTTCCATTCACTACAAAGGGTATACTCTGAAAACATAACATGTGTGATCCTCCCCAAATCTCAAGCTTAATTTCCATACAGCAATGGAAAGACGTTTCTTTTTATGATACTGGCAAGATGAGATATTTGAAAACTAGTACACTTGCTGATAAGCTAACTGCTCCCATTAACAGCACCTATTTTACCATATTTACTCAAATCTAAGATGACCCTGACTTTCAGATGCCCCCTCCCCAATAATTAGATTCTATGTATGGAAAATGTATGTATTTTCTATAATTGTCTAGGTAATCTAATTATTGAAAGTTAGTCTTGAATTTGTACCATGCCCCACTCCCTGAGTAGGGAAAATAGTGGCTGGGAGGGGGGTGTCAGGCAGTCCCCTTGCCCTCTGTGCCCCTCCTCCCCAATTATTTATTCCTGTAGCTCCTTCACCCTCCTTCCTGTCAGACACTGCTTGGGCTCTGTTCCCTCCCTGACCACATGCCTGATGCACATGGGAGTAAGGGGAAGAAGGGGCAGAAACTGGTGAAAACAAGCAGAAAGTACCTTAAAATGCAAGGGACCAAAACATATTGACTTTAAAATAAGTATAGTTGTAGTGGTTTGCATTACTATGGGTCCGTAGTTCCTCAAAAATTGATGCATTTTATCTTTTTTTCAAACTGCTGCGTTTCAGCAAAGTTACTCCATAAACACACTTTTGAGCAGCACTTTTGTACCTACTTACACATAGTACAAACTATTCATGATATTAAACCAAAGCCAAAATGCTCATTATTTATTACTTAGTTCATTGGGTTGGGCCTCAGCAGAGTCAACAGTGTTTCAAACCATGGTGACTCCACATCCCAGCACTGCTCATTGTATGTACTCCAGATACTACCCCTCTTCCCGCAAAAGATAAATGTTCTAATTAGCCTCCCAGTTATCTCTGGAACCAGGTTTTCTTTTCCTGAGTCCCTCCAAAACGTATATGCAGATGAGGTGCAGGGCACCTGTCACATGTGACTGGCCAAGAGACAGGCAACATTGCTTCTCATCTACACAGATATTTGGTGATATTTACCAAACATTTAAGGCTGGTGAAGAAACAAAAATTATTGGGAATGAGAAAGAATGGCACTGGTTAGCTTTGGGAATGAAGAGGAAGTCTAAATATGATGTAGTAGTTCATCATGTGCTTAAAAAGTGTTGGTGCTGATAGGGATCAATCACAATGGACATTATATCTTATTCAGGTGGACTGCACTAATCTAGTCTTGTGGTAGGTTCTCATCTATATGTTTGCTCAATATGGGTCATATGTTTTACAGATATGCTCAGTTTCAGCTACGTTAAATCAACTTCATAGTTGGTTTCCATTACTGAGCACATTCTGCTTCTGGCATCAGTTTAGTGATAGATAATGTATTTAATGATATTTTTTGTATGCAAACGTAAGAAGGGAAGTTTTTTTCCTGTGCTGATTGGAGGGAAATCCTCATCTTACATTTGAGTAAATATGGTATTTCTTATTGGGTAAATACTGCCTAACTGTAAATTACTGTTTAAGCCAAATGTAGAATCACTAGTGTAGAAGTTTCAAAGTGTGGCCTCCAAGATTGAGCCATAATTTTACACACACAAATTATTAGACATTGTTTTTAGAGAATAAAACTTTATGCCCCTCAAGTTTGATTTTAAGCAAGCAAATAGCATTTCTGTTTGTTGTCTTGAAACTCAGAAAGCAGAGTTCCAAAAGCAGTCAGAGCTGCCCTAACTTTTCTCCTGTTAAATCCAATGCTAATTGATTTAGTGGGCTTAGAGTTAGAGCAGCACTGAACACTTTTTCAAATCTCTCCGCAGTTGTCCACATACAAAAATCTTGGGCAATATGGCCAAGGTTTTGCATATCCACAGTTGCCTCAAAAAAACTGTGGGTAGCAATGTAGAGATCAAATTAAAGCCTTTTTGAAAATGTGGCCTTTTAAAAGTTGGTTTTCCTTCTTAAATTATTGCCTTTTATTTTTAGAATTTAATAGTCCCTTTTCTACTTCTTCTTGTAAAATGCTTGTTCATTTCTAAGGGCAAATTCCTTCCTTTTTGGTAACACTGGGTCCTCTCCGGTCATGCAGCCTTCAAGCTGAGGCATACAGTCCCACACTGTTCCTGTCCTTTTGCAGGGCTGAGTTTCTCCTATATTTCTCAGTTCATAATTATTAAGCATAATTTAATGGCAGTGATAACTAGTCTAGTTTTAATGCTTCCCCTTTGCTAGCCCCACCTCTTCTGGCTACTCTTAAATCCCTTTTAAAACAGATTCCCTCTACCTCTTTCCCACTTTTACAGACCTACTCCAAAATGTATGGAATGGTGATCCTTCCATCTGGAGTTCAGATGAGGCCCTTTCTCATTCATGAACCTGCCCTTCCTTATTGCTTTAGTGTGCTCTTATGGTTTGCTTCTGTCCATCTATATGCATTTTCTGTATCAAGGAGACAGTTGGTGTAGGAGCCACATTAGTCTATATAAATATTTATCAATCAGAGGTGCATTAGTAATCCTATGGAGCAGGACTAGACTGGGATGCATAATGCTTAGCATGCTGCCACCACAATGGCTTATTAAATTCAATTATAAAAGAGACAGTATGCCATATGGGCACTTCCCTGATACTAATCAAGTTGGAACTGGGAATCCAAAGTGTAACCACACCAGGACAAGTTGGAAATATGCAAATTTAACTTTCCAGTTTCATGTTGTTTCTTCTTTCATTTATTTGTGTTAATTCTGGTTTTGTGTGTCTAAATGGAGAGAAAAGTTTCTTTCACTTTATTCTAACAAAAGAATGATTTCCTTTCACTATTCTTTGAAGTCTATTTTTTTTTTTAGTATTAGGTAGGCAATAGCTCAGTAAAGGACCCAATTTCTCTTTATAATTAAAAAAGGAAAGAATAAATGTCTGTATGAATGATACACTATTTCTCTCAAAGAAACATGTTATGGCATTTTATTGTGTGAAGAATTCTAGAGAAAAAGAGAGATGAGTTTTGTTGAATGCACATTTGGCATGTGACAAACAACAATGGCATCTCTTAGAGGGAACAAATGCCCATTTTCATCCATTGAAAATGTAATCATAAATTCAGCATATTGAGTCCACAATATGCAGGTTCAAAATCAGTGAAGCAGCATTATCCACTATTTCCTGCATTCTTATAGGTACAACAAAAGGGTGGCACCAAAGTGCACTGATACATCATACACCATTATACTGTCCCTTCTTATTATAGTATGTGACTTTTCACCTCTCTGTTAATAAACAAACAATTTTTAAACTAAAGTGAGGAAAATATTTTTAAAAAATTTGTATAAAAGTTTAAAAATGAGGACAATATACTGATTCATTTTTTTTAAACAGTAAAAATGTAGAAGTGCACATAATATACTGGTGAGTGTGTTTATTTATAAAATTGTTGTGAATCTGAGAGCTAGTATGGTCTATCTCCTGTACACTGACAGAATTTTCATGGTAAATATATTCTTCTTCAGGCTGATTAGAAAATCAATAGTAGCCTGAAACATGGGTAAATTCTTAGCACACTGTGTGACTTAAGGTGGCATAGGGGGTGCCATTATTTAAACATCTTCTATTTAATCAACTTTTGTACAGTGGTGATTATGTTCCTTTTGTCTTTAAACACTTGTGTTGGTGCATTGTCCAAGAAAATGTGTAACACACTAAACATGGTGGAAAGCAACATACAAGTAATTAACATAAAATGTCCCCATATTGTCAGAGCTAGCATTTGATAATTAACACTGATACAAATATTTATGGGATGTGGCATACAGGAAAAGATCAACGAGTGACTTTTATAAAATGCCCTTTTGAAAGAAAATGCATTAATTTGCAAAATCATCTTTAAAGTTCACATTCGTATTGTCAGTTCAACATTGCAGAGCCATGCAGTGCCACCTAGAAAAGGTAAACTTTTGTCTGTAACAGAAAAAAATATATTTGTGAAGCCAGAAAGCACATCATGCTGAAAAAATGATGTGCCCTCCTCTCTAGGGTGCAGTAGCAAAGCATGCCAAAACGCCATGTAATTGAAGTGTTCAGGATTTTATTAATCGGGCTCTAATTCTGCAGTCCAAAAGCACAAATGGATCCCTGGTGCTTCTGATCTATTAATGAAATTGAGCATTATTAAGCAAAACAAAGCAAAAAGCTTAGTGCAGACATTAGTATTAAATAAAAGGATAAAATGGTATGAAAGCACTTCAGTCCTTTCAGTGTTTTTATTAAACACATTGAAAACACCTGGCTCAAGATAAAGAAAAAAAACTTCATTAAGTCCTTCATTTGCCCATGGAAAGTTTCCTCTTTTTCTTTCTTATTATTTTTATGTTGTTACTGGGCAGGTACTAAATGCACCATAATCAGCACTAGTGCAAAGTAGCACTGGTGCATGTCTTTTATGCGATGCTAATGTGCAGTTAACTAATTCTACTCTGCATTAGTGCATAGCATAGTTGTTGCCATGACATGCTAATGAGCAGTAGAATTAGTCTATTTTGCTTCTAGCATCTTGTGTAGATGCGCCCACTAACCTGAATTGTAGTGCTCAAGGTGTACTAGGCTGAGAGCACAAGTGACCAGAACAACCACTGCATGAATATATATTATGCAAGCTTTTCTCTATCTGCCTCAGTCCTGCTTCTGAGGGACTGCTGGGATTCCCAAGAATGGAGCTAAGTGGTGCCATATATGATAATATTTGGATGGATATGGATATCCTTCCATGGGACACTTAAGTGAAAACATAATCTCATTTCATGTCTTCAACCTTTGGTCACATTCTACCCCAAGTTACTCTTTTCAAACACATCAGGTTAAAATGGCCTTGAACTGGGGATAACCAATTAAAGAATTTGACTTATTGTCCCTACTCATCTGAGCAGCATTAAACCTATAGCTTAGATGTGAACAACACCATACATGTATGGTCTTTGGGTAGATGTGATATCTTTTATTAGACCAACTAAAATAGTTGGGGAAAAGTTTTTTGCAAGCTTTCAGGCACAAACACCCTTCTTCTGGCACTGGGAGACTCTGCTGTTGTTATGAGTTCTCCAGGGTAGACTTCATAACAGCAGCAGTCTCCCAATGCTTGATGAAGGGTGTTTGTGCTCAAAAGCTTGCAAAGTCAATAGGTTGGATTTTGTGAGAGTTGGATTAGACAGCAAGTTTTTACATCAACAGTGAGAGATAAGGCCATTGATATACTAGTGCTTAGTGCTGGCTGTAATTTTACCATCAGATACAACATCTGCTTGGAGTCCTCTAACAATTTTGGTATGATACTTGCCGAGGAAAACAAACGTTTATTGTTTGAGGTTTATATATATATAAATAATCTGAGATTTCCATCACAACACGTCCCTGGGCAGGGGTGGAGCGGAGTGGGATTTTCTTTGTTTTAAAACACAAGAGTGTCCTTCAAAATCTTTCTTTGGCCAGTAGTAATTTAGCTACAAAGAATCTAACACAAAATATACTTGATCAAGAAAAACGTGAACATGAACCCTTTCACCATAGTTCATGAATTGGCAGGTACCTGTTTACAAGTGCCATAAGCAGTTAACAGGATTTCAGCATATATGAAAGAAGAAATGTGTTTGATTTGATCCCTCAATCAAGAACCCAGGATTTCTAATCTCACCTTCTACATCATATCTCTCTGTGGCCTTGAGAAAACTATTAACCTTTCTGCTCCATCTGTATAACAGAAAAACATTGGTTTTGTGTGGTTTGATTAGTGTTTTTCAAGTATTTTGAAGCTATTATTAAATATTATAATGAAGCACAGCAGCCTTTTTATTATGGCACAATATTATTATGAATAAATACATTAATAACCATATCTATTTTAGCTCATCTGCTTCAGGAACTTGTTCCCTTCCTTTTAAATGAAAGAATTAGCATATTTCTCTCCTATTGTGTGTAAAGGCAGCTTGACATACAAAAAAAAAAAAAGAAAAATAGACTTTACCCCATTGTTTATGGTGCAGTTTTGCTCACATAAAAAGTTTTAGCAGGACTTAGTGCCCAGCACATTCATATAATACATGAGCTGTAGCTGAAGCAAATAGGATAAATGTTAGATAGATATTTGCAAAATGGAGCACAAATTGCTTTACAATAAAATATCTACCAGCAGCTGAAATATAAAATTTCAGTTAGCCAAGGATGAGCATAAATAAATAAAACAATAATTGTTTCACTAAGCCTCTGGGCCATATAATCTGTCCATGGCATTCCCAGGTTCTCGTAGATTGTCAGTCCCCTCAGCTGTTAACCCAATTTCCCTGTCATACTTTTAGCTGCTTTCTGCTTTTCTCCTACCACAAGGGCTGTTAATACTACCCCAATACATTCACAACTAGGTGCTGAAAATAAATAAGCATTACTATAAAATAAGCCCTTTACATCTATTCTACACAGAAATATTCTATACCTCTATGAACTATATACCTTACACACATCCTGCATTAAGTGGTAGCAATGAACTCTTTGTTAACTAAATAGAAATGTATTAGGATATTTTTTGCAGCAAAATTAATATAATTTGTTACCTTTTGCATGGTAAGTTGATCATGACTGTATGTTAAAACTATGCTCTGAAATGTTGATACTTTGCAGTAACAAATGAACAAGTATAAAGTGACTGATAAAAACAAGCCCTATTTGTCAATAGCAAACACTCAGGCATGTTTGATATCTCACTTATTTCTAAGTGTACATGTTAGGAGCAGTTCCTCAGTTGATGTAACTTTACCTTCTTTCAAGACAATGGAGATACACAGGTTTTCATCAATTCAGATTTATATCACTTCACCCCAGTATAATATTCTGAGTGCTGGTGAAGTTAACACTTTATAGAGCCCTACATAATAATATAGATACATCATAGAGAGGAAGTAGTTAATTCCTGTGCTCTTACTGCATATCATGTAAAGCCTATTTATTGCACAACTAAGGCATACTATGAAAGTGATATGAGCTTAGGGTGCAGAAAGAATGTTGTTCCAGTGGTAAACGTGTTGAGCTGAAAATCAGCTACATAAATTACAAAGCAAAATGATAGCAGATTACATAATCAGCATACAAATATAAGTAGTATCTTCACATTTGAATTATGAACATAAGTGCCATACTGGATCAGAGCAACGGTCCATCTAGCCCAGTATTATGTCTCCGACAGAGGCAGAAAAAGATTCTACAAAGGGAGAGCATTGAAATAACTTTTGAACCATAAAAATGGCTGGTTAATAACAGTTACAGTTTAGTTGCAGATTCAGTTTAAAATATGTGTAAAAATCAAAGAATTACACCAAGCATTGCCCTACATTAGTTCACAGTGTAGCTTTCTATTTTAATTATCAAATGTTATGCAAGTTGCTGATTTTTTTGTTGTAGGAACTAGATTTCCAACAAGCATACAAACACAGAAGGAATAAAAGTGCAAAGCTATACTTTTTTCTGTCATGACAAAATTGTTTTAGAAATAGCCCCAGAAATGTTTCCTTTTATAAAGTTCTGTACAGTTATTTGTCATGTCATGTAACAATGTTTATTTTAGATCATGTTGTCAGGGATACCTCTTGTTAATTTTTCCACAGAATGCTAAGAGTAATTTTACTTTCAGGCTAATACCCAACTATCTATTTGCTACAATAAAGAATTTTAAATTGTAAATTAAACAAAACATAGAACATCTAGTACACATTTTCCTCTCTAGAAATCAACAGAGATAGGTACCAATTTCCTTTATATTCTGAACTCTAAGGTTAGGGGCAGACATTCAAAAAAGCCTGAACCTGAATTGATTCAATCTTTGCAGGTTAGTCTAACCCACAAAGTTTGAACCAATTTGGAGGTGAATAGACATTCCTTTTCATTCCAGAAATGCAGGCATATGTCTGCAGTTGCTAAAGCTAGAAGCCAGGGGGCACTACAGCAGCCCTCCCTTCCTTTCCATAATGCTGAACTGAAGGAGGGTGCATGGCCAGGCCCTTACAGGATGCTCTGATTTGGGACGGGTTTAAACTCTCACCCTGGCCTGCACTGTCTCAGGCTTTTCCCTCCACTCACTGTTCACACACACAGATACATCTCTCAGCGTTAGCTAGCATACCACATGCCTAGGGTCTATGGGGCTAGAGCCTGTGCTATAGGAGATGTGAGGCATGGAGGGAGGAATCCCTGCTCGAGCAACAAGTAGTGAGGGAAGCCAAGCAAACTCTGCCATACCTGTCATCTCCCCCATACCTCTGGCT